GGGGGGGGGGAGACTCGACGAGAAGAGAAAAAGAGAAGGCAACGCGAGAAGAGGGAGACTCTCTCTGGAGATTTCCGCGACTTTCGAGACTTTAGTCTGGTTCGTGATCGAATTACCGAAATCAGAGCATACCGACCGGAATTTCGATCTTTTGTGCCATCTTCTTGCTGACGCGTTATATCGAGGACGAGATCCTACCGTGGGAAGTCTCGGCCGCGAGTGACCGATCTCCGATCCGAGCGAGCCAGGGTTCGTTCACGGAGCGACAGTAGCGGGGACTGAGGCGACCGCCAGAGTACGAGACTGCAGGCCCGGAGTGGAGGCGAGGAAGAGTCCGACCTTTTGTAAGACTTCCCATTTGTTTGCGTATTAACGTAGAAAACTGTCGTACCGAGAATATCGCATGCGGAGTGGTCGCGCGAAAACTGTATGAGCAACCCGAGTAGAGGCGAGGGAGATCCTTTACCGTACCGACGCGTGCGAAAGATAGAAAGACGCGCTGCCTGAAAGATAAAAAGACGAAATGCCTGTACCAGAGGAGTAAAGATCTTTGCCAAGAATACGATTGCATCTTTCCTCGGCTTTTCGCCTTCCACGATAAAACCCATCCCTCCTCCGACTCAAATTAAAAAGAGAGCTACCGGTTCCGCGAGATTCCCGATCTATCGTTGAACGATTCTCGCGTCTGATTTTTGTGGTGCATTATTGGTGAGGAGGTGCGGCCTTACCGCACCTGGCGCCCAACTTCGCGTTCGTGCTAGCAAGATAAGATTCGGGAATCGCGGAGGTTTGCTGACGCGGCGGATAGGGAACTGTCCGCCTAAGCAATAATAAAAGTCGTCGCAATAAAAATAAGCAAATGATTTCCTTCCAAGAAAAAAAATAATTTTTTTAAATTTAAAAGCTATGTGTAAATAAATATTTGCTTGTTTTAAAAGTAAATAAAATACGAATAAATCATTTTATAAATCTAAATAAATTATTTTCTGTTATTAAAAGTATCTTTTTTGTAAAAGTATCTTTTTAAATTAAGTTTCTCTTACTATTACAGAAAACAATTTATTTAAATTTACAAAATAATTTATTTGTTTTTTACTTAGTTTTAAAACCAGTAAATATTTTTCAAATATACTTTTCACATACTCTTTTTAAGTATGCATTTTACATTTAAAAGGATCTATTCTCTTCTTTTAAATAAATTATTTGTTTTTTTTGTACATGAGTATACTATATGGGTATACAATAAGAAGTATCTATTAGTGAAAGTGACAGTGGTGCAATAGATAAAGTGAACGACTCAAGAGTCAGAGGTTTCAGGTTCGAATCTCAGCAATAGCAAATTCTCGAAGTACAATTTAAATTAAATTAAATAGCATGTGAAATAATAGTGTGTTAAATTTAAGTAAAAATTTTAGAAAAAGAAAAATATAATATAAAAAGGAACTTTAATTAAAAATAACTAGCTAAAAAATATTTTTTTATATTAAAAATATTTCTTTGATATTAAAGAATATTTTTAGTAGAATTTATTTATGTTGCATTTTTTCTTTGAATAAATATTTTAAACTAAAGAACTAAACAACTAAAAAACATTTCTTTGAATCAAATATAAAATTTGATTTTACAAAAAACTTTATTTTTTTATAAAAATTTGCTTTTTTATAAAAAAAAACTGCATTTTTATCCCAGTAAATATTTACTCTCTTGTACAAAATAAAACAATAATGTAATAAATATTTACTACGTTGCAGGACATATTTTTTAAAAGTAAAGATACATTTATTTATTGCAAAAATCATTTGCTCATCATTTATTACAAAATAATATTTGTATTCCAATAAATTTTTACTTTTAGGAAACATAAAGCTATAATTTAAACTAATATTTACTACATTGCAGAAAATATTGCCTGCAATTTAATAACGATTTGGTTCAAAGAAAACTAATTTCTTGCCTTCAAATAAACTATTTTTAATAATAATCGACTTTAGGAGAGACATCTCCAGTGATCTTGACCTTGACATATGTTATTAAAAATATGTTTCTAAGTAACATGCAAAAGATTTTAGCCGTCGCTCGTTAAAAAGTTATTAACAAAAGAAGTTACATAAAATGAGTATAATTTTTGGACACTGTATATACAAAAACGATACTGTGTACCGTTAACGAGCAATATCGAATAATAACTGCAATATCGAACGACTAGCGGCGGCTGCGCCTCCCGCACCCCCCTCAAAACTAACCTAACCCAACCTATCGTCACATTAACACAAAAGTTAAACACTTTAATAAACTGTAACGATCTATAAAAATCGTCACGAAAGTCAACCGGAAAATTAGATACGGTATGTAGATTAACAACATTAACGCCGAACAACCGCGCGCGGAACAATCGCAAGGTCAACAAACAGCCGCTCTGTTTGTTGCAAATTAGTATAAAAGCCGACACGAAAACGATATCGAAAGAGATTGATCGAAAAACTCTCCTGAGGCACACAACCGATCAAAAGCTCGCAACCTCCCAAAGATCCTAGACCGTTCCGTCGACCGAAGTGGATTCGCGACGTCGACAGCCTTTTTCCGAAACCGCTCCGCCGACCGAAGTGGATACGCGACGTCGGCTTCCTATCCATATACCGCTTCGTCGACCGAAGTGGATACGCGACGTCGATATCCTTTCTCCGATACCGCTCCGCCGACCGAAGTGGATACGCGACGTCGACATCCTTTCTCCGAAACCGCTCCGCCGACCGAAGTGGATACACGACGTCAGCTTCCTATCCATATACCGTTCCGTCGACCGAAGTGGATACGCGACGTCGACATCCTTTCTTCGATACCGCTCCGCCGACCGAAGTGGATACGCGACGTCGGCTTTCTATCCATACACCGCTCTGTCGACCGAAGTGAATACGCGACGTCGACATCCTTTCTCGAAACCGCTCCGCCGACCGAAGTGGATACACGACGTCAGCTTCCTATCCATATACCGTTCCGTCGACCGAAGTGGATACGCGACGTCGACATCCTTTCTTCGATACCGCTCCGCCGACCGAAGTGGATACGCGACGTCGGCTTTCTATCCATACACCGCTCTGTCGACCGAAGTGAATACGCGACGTCGACATCCTTTCTCGAAACCGCTCCGCCGACCGAAGTGGATACACGACGTCAGCTTCCTATCCATATACCGTTCCGTCGACCGAAGTGGATACGCGACGTCGACATCCTTTCTTCGATACCGCTCCGCCGACCGAAGTGGATACGCGACGTCGGCTTTCTATCCATACACCGCTCTGTCGACCGAAGTGAATACGCGACGTCGACATCCTTTCTCGAAACCGCTCCGCCGACCGAAGTGGATACACGACGTCAGCTTCCTATCCATATACCGTTCCGTCGACCGAAGTGGATACGCGACGTCGACATCCTTTCTTCGATACCGCTCCGCCGACCGAAGTGGATACGCGACGTCGGCTTTCTATCCATACACCGCTCTGTCGACCGAAGTGAATACGCGACGTCGACATCTTTTCTCGAAACCGCTCCGCCGACCGAAGTGGATACGCGACGTCGACCTCCTGTCCCTCACGCCGCGCCGCTAACACATGTAACGGCCTTGCGTTACGTGCGGGATAGTCTTAGTCGGTGTGGTCCGGGTTTCGTTTGTGAAAAAAAAACCAGTGGTGTAGGTTATAATAATGTGGAACTATATTCTAATTTCGAAGCTATGTACAAGTATTTACAGGCGACGTTACGCCGTTGGCGCATGGTCGCGTTTTTGCTCTCGTCGGGAGCCGTTGTTGTCGTCTCGCGATCAGCTGTGAGCGTCGAGGCGCGCGAGCGGCCGGCGGGACGCGGTCGGGATAGTGTCCTGGTACGCTATTGTTCGTCGTTTGGAGTTCGTTGCCTCGTCGGTTTTAATCTGTTTATTTACCCTGGCTTTCCTGGCGGGTTTAAAGGTGCTCGTCGTCACTGGTATCTTACGCCCTGTATGCGTTCGCAATCGTAGGTGTTAGCGGCGTGGCGTGAGGAGGAAAGGGTGTCGACGTCGCGTATCCACTTCGGTCGACGGAGCGATGTCTGGATAGGAAACCGACGTCGCGTATCCACTTCGGTCGGTAGAGCGGTATCGGAGAGAGGATGCCGACGTCGCGTATCCACTTCGGTCGACGGAGCGGTGTATGGATAGGAAACCGACGTCGCGTATCTACTTCGGTCGGTAGAGCGATATCGAGGAAAGGATGTCGACGTCGCGTATCCACTTCGGTCGACGGAATGTCTAGGATCTCTAGGAGTTTTGAGTTCTGGTCGGTCATGCGCCTGAGAGGAGCTTTCCGATCGATCTCTCTCGATATCAATTTTCTGCCGGCTTTTATACCCGTTTTTAACAAACAGTGAAACTGTTTGTTGACATTGCGGTTGTTCCGCGTGCGGTTGTTCGGCGTTAATTTATTTTTACCGTAAATCATATTTCAAATGTTGCGTGACGATCGTTATTTATCTGGATCGTCACATCACCCCCCCCCCCCCCCCCCTTCTTAGTGCCTGTCCCGGGCACTTATATATCCTAGTACTTATACCTATGTTTGCGCAACCTTAAATCTAACTATTTATGTTCTATATCCTACCCTTCACCAATTAAACGCGTTATTTAACTAATTTTTACATCCTAATCTATTCTTAATCCTAATCTTAATCCTTATCTTGCGCTTCTACTTTGCCGTATGGCTTTCGCTTCCTATCTATTCTTATTTCCTATTCATTTTGATCTATATGCTATTCTAAGTTTTCCCGTTTTCGTAAATTTGAATTTCCACAATTCTCCGTTTACGTACCGTCGATATTTATTTGTCTTGTGTGCCGCGTAATACGGCACGTCGACTGTTCTTCCTCCGGTGATCGGTATTCTATATATTGTATTCTCGTTCGCGATTTGCGGGTCGCGGGTTTTTATGCGTATTTTGTTTATTACCGGTTCGTCTGCGATGATTTTTATTGTTGGTCGTGTATGGGCCCGGTCCGATTTTCCCTGTCCGCTGTTGCTCATTGTTGGTGGTGCCTGGGGTGCTTGTGGTTTATTAGTTCCTGGTGTTGTATTTGGTGCTCGTTGTGTGACTCCCGCGAATGGCCTGATGTGTGGTCTCTGTTCCTTCGGTGGCGGTAATGTTATTCGGAGTTTTGCCCATAAGTCTACTCCAATGAGCATGGGGCTTTCAAGGTTTGGTATAACGTCAAACGTGTGCCAGTATCGTCTGTCATCTATCGTAACTGGTACGTTTACCTTTCCTTGAATTTTTATACTTGTGCCATTCGCCAGGCGTATTGCTTTGTCTCTTTTCTGTGTCGGATGTTGCCACTTGTTTGCTAACATCGCGGTTCTCTGGCTTATACATGAGATCTCGGATCTGGAGTCGATTAATGCATTAAGCGGTGTCTTGTATATCTTGATCCTTATGTGCGGGCGCGGTGTGTATTTTATGTGTGGTGTCCTTGGGACCGAGGGTCGCCCTGTTCTCCTCGGTCCGCGCGGCGTTTCCCGGTCGTGGATGGCAGTCTTTTGTTAAAACTCCATCTCTTCCGCATTGGGAGCAAAATTTCTTCGCCGGTTGTCTGCAAAATCGCCTTTAAACCAGCCAGGATAAAAGCCGGCGTAAACAATCAGCTTAAAGCCGACGAGTCGACAAATGCCAAAGACGGACAATAGCATATCGGGAAACATTCCCGACCGCGTCCCGCCGGACGCTCGTGCGCCTCGACGCTCACAGCTGATCGCGTGACGACAACATCGGCTCCCGACGAGAGCAAAAACGCGCCGGCGGCGTAAGATCGTATATAAATAATTGTAAATAGCATTGAGATTAGAATATAGTTCCATGTTATTATAACCTACACCACTGCTTTTCATTTAACGAACGAAACCTCGGACCCCATCGACTAAGACTATCTCGCACGTAACGCAAGGCCGTTACAAAACAATGACTGATGGTTAATGTGACGATAGGTTGGGTTAGGTTAGTTTTAAGGGGGATGAGCGCAGTTCCCCGCTTGTCGTTCGATATTTTTCTCGTGTTACAAATGTTAAAAATATTCTTAATTTAAATATTTTTTTAGTAAGTACTGCAATATTGAACGACTAGCGAGGGGATGCGCCCCCCGCACCCCCCCCTTAAAACTAACCTAACCCAACCTATCGTCACATTAACCGTCAGTCATTGTTTATTAAAGTGTTCAACTTTTGTGTTAATATGATGATAGATTGGGTTAAATTAATTTTGAGGGGGGTTGCGAGCAGAGCTCTCAGTTTTGTTACATTTACAGCACGCTGGAAGCGCGGTGGGAGAAACCCACACAAGCGGCGCCCGAGTCCGTGAGCGCAGCGAGGTTCGTCCGAGTTCGGGAGAATAGAAGAGTACAGACGATATCGCTATCCTTCGGCGATAGCTATAGCTAACCCCGCCGGCCGCGAGACGCGCTAAGCTGTCTCCGTTCGTATTGTGCCGCTTGTCACCGCTTCTCGGATACATCGACATGTCAATGAAGTACATATATATATAATAGTATATATAAAAAAATTGCTATTAGTAATTATTTTATGTAAAAATATTAACAAATTTAAAAGATATAGAATTTTATCAGCAAAGGTTCCGAGAACATATTATCTGTTGAATCATACGAGTGTGTAAGTCCCAGTGACATGAAACATAGAAATAAAAAACATTTTAAATGTATAGATGTGTGACTATCATATGAACTAGATGTATAATAACCGGAAGTTTCGAATTACGTTTTGAACGAAGTAAAATTATTGGCTAACAAAGTATCGAAAAAAAGTGATAATTATGTGTAAAAAAATAGAAAAATATTCCGAATACTATATTTCTACTTCAGTTAAGTTGCCATAGAATGCCAAATTAGAAATCTTTTTCAGTTTCAATATAATAAGACTTTCGCAATCACGGCAACCAACAAATTATACACGGTTTTCTGCAACTATTTTGTATCCTTCGAATAGATCGATGTGCTTATATAAAAACATCACTGATGAAAGGTCACTGATAAAGACCAGTGTGAACTGACGCTGGTTATTTTGTGTGTCAATGATTAAATAATTGTATTATATAGAACTAAAATTTTGTAATCAATAACGCCCAACAGAACCAGCGTTGGCTTCTACTAGTTTTTAATACTTGAAGTTTTGTATGCCTAGACCTTTATATTTACATGTACTTAGCTAATATCTATATATAATTAAACATAATGATGAATATATTGTAATCTCGTACATAATGTTGCTCAATGGAAACCGCGAGAAGGTAGTGGTCTCTTCCGTCAAAGGGAAATGAAAAACATGTGTTTCTTTTAATATTCCAATACGAATGTACATATACATTTCCGTTTTTATAAGATAATTTCCTAAAATTCGACATATTATATTATAAAAGCTATATTGTACTTTACAAAGTATTATAATATAAAAATAATATAACTCTGTTTTCCATTTCCCAAGGATATGATGGAATGAAGAATAGAGTAGAAAAGGAAGGATAGGGATATAAAATAGATCGAAGTAGAAATAGATTAAGATAGATAAAGGGTAGATAAAGATATACATATTGTTACACTCTCGGGTTAAATTCACACAAAACTGTCACTTATAGAGAGGAATAAATAAATAACATCTTTAAAGGAGAACGAGAACTATTTTAATGGAAACTCAAATATAATTATAACCGAGTTTGATTCAGAGGCAACCAGATCTTTCACACGTCTTTACACTTCAAGATCTCATTGCAAACTCTCTAATTATTTTCAAGATCAATAACACGACGTTAGCTCAAAATAATATGACGTTAGCACAAAACTACTGAAACGTAGTCGCGAACAGAGCAGCGCACTTCAATTAGAACCAAGACTGAAAACAGCAACGGACGACGTCGTGGACAAATATCCCAGATGCAACATTGCCTTCCCCTTTTTCTAAAATTGTCGTTCCGACAATTTACGGGGGGGGGGGAATTTCTCAAACTGAAGGCTTCTATCTTCCTGTTCCACCCTCCACTGCTGCTTCGGGTCTATGAACCTTATGGATCCTTCTTTTTTTTTTTTAACTTCTCTTAGATAGGTAAACCGTACGTTTCTTTGGAGAATCTGTCTTCCAAAACGTCCCATTTAACCCAGCATCTGGAACTCTTCCACCATAAGACTTCTTCCGCCGAAGTGCCCAGTCTTCGAACAAGGGTGGGGTAACTTTTGTGGACCCAACACTCTCAACAGAGAGCAACCCAAGTTCCCACCTTGGCATATGCCCTGATTAAACATCAGCCCTGTGGAAAAACCACAATCAAAAACCACAGGGAAGGTGGTCTTCTTTCCTTTTCTTTTCTAATCCAATTCCTCAGACATTATTCCTTTGAAAACGAGCCACTAAAACAAAAAAATACAGAACGCAAAATTTCCGTTCCTTCTAAACTAAAATACAAGTTCGAAATTTTCTTAACTAATTCTGTCTTTCACAAAAGGAAGCTAACCTATCTGCATGAACTATCTTATTTTTGTCTGATCGACCTACGAATGCAATAAACAACATCGCTTAATTTCTTAATAACCTCATAAGGCCCCTCCCAATGACTGCAATTTAGGAGCTTTATCTAACTTTCTGCGTGGATTGTAAAGCCATACTTTACTACCATTCTCAAAATGTACTTCCCTTGTTTTCCTGTCATAACGAGCCTTTGATCTAATTGACTTAATATTCAAATTCAAACTAACCTTCTCATGGATCTTTGACAATTTCTCATGAAGACACATACAATATTCGCTTAATGGAACTTTCTCTTTAGGAGAAGTGCCTTGTAACAGATCCAAAGGTAGTCTGAGGTCCCTACCCATAAACACTTCCGAAGGTGAAAAACCAGTGGATTCATGTATCGAAGAATGATACGCTAATAAAAACATCGGAACCCAATGATCCCAATCTCTTTGATTTTCT